AGTATATACAAAATTTGCGAACTTCACAGGGCTATATTTTCCTCATTCTACAACAATTCTCTACCAAACTTTGCCATTTTAGTCGTTTTAAGATGCTTTTTCTAGCTATATGGTAATGGATTTCGTTCTTTTTGTCTAGATCAAAATTTAGTTCATAGCTGAAATCATCCATCCCCCAGAGCCCCCTACTATTACAAGTCGCATATTATGTCCAAAATACTAAGTATAATGAAAACACATTTAAACTGAACATTGATAAATTTCAGTTCTTCTCTTCATCATTTTGTCTGTTTACTTTCCTTTATCTTCCAATTTTCTTTTAAATGTTGAGCTTTACTCTATGCTAGAGAGTCCTACAAAATAGAAAGACTTGGCTTTCACTAAATACTAACCGTACATGGCTTCATACATTTCAGTGAAGCCAACTGTAACAATCAACTGTCGCAGTTCCGTCGCAGTGGATGAAGGCAAAGACTTCACAGTGGATGAAGGCAAAGACTTCACATGTGTATGCAGAGGTGAAAATGGGAACCCTCCTGCTGACGTTACATGGTATAAAGATAACGTACAGACTGGTACAAGAGAAAAAGAAGAACAAACATTGACTCGAAGTAATGTTAATGTAACAGACGATGGAACTTACAAGTGTAAAGCACAAAGTCACACTCTAACGAAAGAAAAATCAATTGTAATAAAAGTAAGACCTAATGGTAAGTATAATTGATACTTATAGTGAGCATAGAATAAATACATGCATACAGTGTGACCGTTTAACTGACTGTAAAAGATTAGAGGATAAATGGCTAACGATTCAAATGAAATTGAAAGATTGCGCATAACCCAATTTAATTTAATTTCTTGTCAGATCTTTGGCTCATACTTTCGTTATACAGTATTCCGCTGATGACCTTTTGAACAATATATAATTTTATTACATTTCAATGAGACCAAATGTGGCAATAGATTGTTCCAGTCATGTCACATTCTAATGTGAAAGTGAAGGTGGAAACCATGCTCCTGCGCAGCCGGCTTGACCTAAAAAGTTTCAAATTTTAGGATTTAGTCTAGGACCTGTATATGAGTTTGTGTGCGATTTATTTAGGACAGGTAATCTCAACTGTTTTAGGGTAAAATGACCATGGCGGTCAACATGGCATATGTGCGAAAACCTGAATCCGGGACGAAAGTCCTGAAAATGACCCCGCCCTGAAACGGTAGTGTCGACATAGCTCTAACTTCCGAAAAGGAAAAGCGATAGCCTTTCTGAAGTGCTTATAGTGTTTAGAAGGGTTGCTTTTAGGGGTGGTCATTGGAAGGAAAACTTTGTCGAAGTATAATATTTTACCAGAAAATGACTATGCACCACCCCAGGTAAATTGCTGATTATGCACAAAATAACTAATATGCCTGGCAGAAATTAAATATTCTTATTTCCTAAAAACAATTATCATGGGGTGAAAAACTATGCTTAATTTAATATAAATATTGTTGATTTCATAAGGATTGTTATTGTTTTCTTTAAATATAATACATTTTATTTCACTTACCCCCTACGAAAACACGATTTCAGCCATATTTTGCCGTCTTGTTTGCTTTTTATCGCCGAATCTCGCAAATATCATCCAGTTATTGTAATTTTACATAATCATAAATGGCTGAAGAAGATTTCAAAGAAGGTTTCATCCACTTTTGTAACAGTGCAGTGTATTTTACCTTCGATATTGTGTCCTTCGATATTCCGCCAAATTGCCGCCATTTTAATGGCTCGCCGCTTCTGTCTGATAAATGCAACTTCTTCGTTTCCATATGTATTTAGATTACAGTATCCAAGAGTACTTCATTGTAGAATAGTCCCAATCCAAAAATTGGCAACATTTGTCCCATTAGGAAGGAAAAATCCTCCCGTATACCATTTAGGTTCAAAATAAAAACAAATCATTTGAAAGTCACGCGCAATCTTCGCGAAAACTTCTCGTGGACACATGACAGGGGGGGTTGAATATTTTCACGAATATGTTCGCCACCACAGAAACATAACTAAATATATTGTATTTATTGTATTTTTATGATTTATGATAAAAACAATAAATATTTGCGTAGTTTTGTCATAAATCATAAAAATACAATAAATACAATATATTTAGTTATGTTTCTGTGGTG